ATATTGAATCTCTAAATGAAACAGAAATGCCTCCAACAACTAATCCAAATATAGAAGAGGAATCTGAAATGCATAAAGGTGTCCAAACTGCACAAGATCTAGAAATAGTTAAACAAACATTACATGATAAACTATCACCTTCTCTTCTTGATAGTATGAGATCATATGAATAAATGACTTTCTTGCCTGATGGAATAAAATATGATAACCAGTTCTGTACATGGAATTATATTGAACATATCAGCAAACGATTTGGTATTAAAGATAAAAACAAAAAACTTGCCCAAGATTAGAAAGGTTTCTGTGCTCAATGTTAATATAGAAATAAACTCTATAGTTCTTGTGATGAATGTCCAATTTGCTATATTGAACTGCGACTTTGGGCAACAATCAAACAATACTTTATTGAAGAAATAAGACAATATTATTGGAGTACACCTGATGATGATTATGAAGAAGATTCTATCTTGCCAGAATCTTATTCCTATGAACCTTTATCCTTAGAGCATTTATTTGGACAACAGTCAGACCCTTTGGTTACTCAACAAGCTACTACCAATGTTCAAATAAACTACTATAATATCCAACTTAGTTATACTCTAATTGACAAACCTTGGTGATTACTATTACTAGAGACCCCTTCCCAACATCTTTTGAATGAACACAACAATTTTTCTTCTAACTATCTTTGTAACTCTGTGTAGTAGAATACATCTAACCTTACCTTCTATTATTAATTTATTATTCTTTTAAAGAAACCTAACAATAAGCACAATCTAGTCTAGATAGTTGGTATTCTAGCATTATATCTGAAAATCTGTTAGAATGGAACCTGAACATTATCAAAATATCAAACTATTTTTGAAAACAGCCACCTATCTTACATATTTCTCAAAAACCTAAAAAAAACAATTACAAAAGAAAAGTTAATATTTCTGTATTAGAAATAATCAATTATATAAAAAAAAACAAAACAAAAGCCAAAATTCACTAAAAGTAATTCAGAAATATGAGGTTGAATCTGTATTATACCTCATGCACAACCATCCCCTTGGAGCACATTTTGGAACTGACAAAATGTTTGACAAAATCAAAAGTTATTACTATTGGTCTCAAATATATGAACATATTCGAAATTATGTAAAGACTTGTGATAGTTGTTAAAAACAAAGAAAATATAGACAACATAGTCCTTTATACCCTATCAAAATAGAAGCACCTTTTGACAAAATTGGAATTGATTTTGTTAAATCACTTCCTCCTACTACTTAAGGAAACTGATATATAATCATTGCTATAGATTATATAACTAAGTATCCTGAAGCAAAAGCAGTACCAAATGCAACTGCATAACAAACTGCTAATTTTATCTATGAAGATATTATTTGTAAACATGGATGTTCTAATTTTATACTCTCTGATTGAGAAATATATTTTAATAATTTGCTAATTGAAAGTGTAATGCAAAAGTTTCAAATCAAACACTTGCTTACTACTTCTTATCATTCTCAAACAAATAGATTAGTAGAATATTTTAATAAAATATTGTGTGAATCCTTAGTGAAACTAGCTAATGATAATACTGAATAGGACAAACTAATATCTTTTGTCTTATTCTCATATAGAAGTTCTAAGCATGCAACTACTAAATTTATACCTTTCTTGCTTACCTATAGCAGAAAACCAAAACTGCCTATATTCAGATCTCAAGATAACTTAGAAGAAAATCTTTTAACAAGATTGTATACAATTGTAGAAGATTTATTTGCAAATAAAGAACAAGCTAAGAAAAATGTTAAGAAATCTCAACAATGACAAAAATTCTATTAGGACAAAAAGTTAAAGAAAGTTCGAAAGCTATTTGAAAAAGAAGAGCAAGTATTGTGCTATGATGCTACAAGAAATAAACATTTTATAGGAAAATTCTTGCCAAAATGGAAAGGACCTTATATTATTTATGCCAAAATAGCATAAGATGTTTACAAACTTTGAATCATAGATAGACAAATTTTAGAAACACTAATTAATGCATATTTATTAAAAAAATACTATATCTGTCAAACTTGAAACCCTACTATTATTATTTAATAATGAAACTTATTTAATTATATATTATATTTATATTTTATTATAAAAAAAATAATAAATGAAAACAACAAAAAAAAAAAATAAAAAACAGATAATAACAAAAAAATATATATACAAAAAGAAAAAAATATATATATATATACATATCAAATTAGAAACCAATATCTGACATTCTATCTCTATTATTATTATCTCTGTCTTTTCTTTTTTTTTCTGCTGTCAATCTTTACAACTTCTTCTTATCATTTGCCAACTGAGCCTTCAACTAATTTTTTTTCTCCAACAACTGATTATACCACTACTCCAACATCTAACCATCTTGCACTCTTGCAATTGCACTCATCCTTAACTCTTTCAACTCTATCTTCAAGCTCTGTATTCTTTTTCTTAATGACACCACCAATCTATTCAAACTGTAACCAAGTTTTACTAAGTAACAAAAAAAAAAAAAAGAGAAGAAGTAAAAACAAGACAATTTTAAAAAAATAATATTTACTACCCATTCTCAACTTGGACAACTCCCAAAGCCTCGAACAAAGCATTGTTGCCATTTCAGTGAGTATGACAAACATTTCTGGAAAGACTTTAATGAGGCATGATTATTATTATTATTATTATTATTGTTGTTGTTGATGTTGTTGAAGTTGTTGTTATAAATTTAATAAAAAAAAAAAAAAATGAGTGACAAAAAGATTACAATTTTTAATGAACGATAATGAAACAAAATTAGACACTAATAGAAAGTTAATCTACCAAATTTGGAAATCAATTAGAAATTGATTTAACAAATTTAGAATGGCAAAAATTTGTACATCGCATAATTACAAATTACATAGAATCTTAGAATCTTATTGGACACTTGATGTATTCTAATGATCTCTAAAAAGGATACAAATTTGAAATTTAGTAATATTTCCAATATAGATTAACAGTATAAGACATATTATCAGACTGTATAGGTCATATATTTGAGACTGGCTAGAGTAAGCTTTCTGCTAGAATCCAAGTTTTGTAAGGCCCTTGGTTGAAGTACTGGAAATAGAATTTTTTTTTTCTTTCGAACACTTATATTTACTTTTTTTATTCATTTTTTATTAGTTAGATATTAATACTTTATCTTTATATATTTATATAGTACACTTTATACCCAAAAAAAAAAAAAATATATTTATTTTTTTTATTATTTTTATCTTCAAAATGATAACTATTATAGAAATATTCTTGCAGAAATTAACTAAAACAGAACCAGCTAATGTTATTGTCAAACCTTCTCCTTATGACCATAAGGATAAAACTAAAACAAAGTTCATCTAATCTATCAAGCTCTAAGAAATATAACTAGACTAAGAAACCATAATGATGGCTGCTTGAAAATTCTTACCTAGGCCTACTATTTAGAAGAACTTTTAAAAACCAAATCAAAAACTCTAGCCTAATGAACAGTATTAACAAATAGGTTAACCAAATACTATAAAATAGCCTCGACAAGAATCTATAAAATTGTCTCTTAATATGAAATAAAAGCCATCTATAGAACTAAATTCTTGAACTTAACAAACTTTAAAAAATTAATTTCTACTAACCTTATCTTTCTTTGCTAAGTTCTTATAAAATTTGAAAATAAGTCTGAGAGAATGTTAACCTACAAAAATGACTATAACTCTTGAACCACTAGACAAAATTCAATGAAACCACCATCATTCGAATTAGCTCACTGAGATGGTTCTAATGAGATATAAATCATCTATTTTTGATCACAGAATTACAAGATCGAATCTAATAACCAAATTAATAAGAAAGCTGCAATCTGATTAGTTGAATAATAACTGTGAAATATTATACATATAACATATATAACATTTATATATTTTGGAGCATCTATATTTTATATTATATTTAGTTTACATATATTATTTAGTTTATTTCTTTTATTTATTTTTTTTATTTTTTTTATTTTTTTAATCTTAAACAGTTATGCTAGTATTTTATTAAGATTCTTGAAATTATACATAAATACAATTACATAGAATTTCCTAATATCTAAGTCTAGCATCACTCAGCCACCCTTATGGTACCTAAGTGTAATCTGTCACACTATCTTAGTTAGAGATAGACTGCTCGTCTAACTACTTAAAGCCATATCAGAAGAGTTTTTTCTCTTCTGTGACAAGCATATTAATTGTCTTTCAAGCTTCCTTTTTTATTTAGTTTGTTTTTTCTATTTTCCTTTATTTTTCTTCTTCTTTCATTTGATTATTCTTCTTCTTTTCTTTATCTGTTTTCTCTCTTGCATGAGCTCCTTTCTTTATCTTGTTTGTTATATTGGACTTCTTTTTCTAGTCTTGTATCTTTTCATATCAGACCCTTCATACTTAATTATAGAAGGTGTTCCATACTATTCTTGCCATTATATTTATGCACTTCTGTGTTGCCTGATTGTTTAGAAGTCAATTGAGTTTCTCTTCTATATTTGTTCTTGTCAGTCCCTTTATCAGTGCTTCTCTGTTTGTGATTTCTTCTGCTTCTGATTTCCTAAATAACATTTTATAAAGGACTTATGATAGGATTCTGTTCTTTTTTTCTTCTTTGAGTGCATTCTATGCAGTTGCTATTGTAACTTTTTGGATCTGCTTCCACAAGCTTCTTTGTTCACTACAGCTTGCTAAGTATGCTTGTGTTTCTATCTCTCCAACTTGGTATATCTGACACTCTGCAGTTGTATAAACCTTTGATCTTTTTCTATTTAGCTCTTTGAGTATTAGCAGTTTGTTCATTATGCACTTAATCACTGTAGCTCTTCTTGTGCTGAGTTTTCTTGACATACAGTTAGTGTTTTGACCCAGGTAGGTTTTACCCGGGTCACCTATGGGTGGGTTAGGTACCTGAGTAGAGATGATTATAACCCAGATGGGTCAACCGTAGGTCACCCAAAGGGTCAACTGCGGGTCACCCAAAGGGTCAACTACAGATTACCCGATGGGTCAACTGCGGGTCACCTAATGGGTCAACTGCAGGATCACCTGTATCACCTCTAATAAGTATATTGGCAGTATTATCATGTGGTAAAATTAATTATAGCATAGTAATAGGAGGAAACATTGATGTTATATGATTGATTTTACACACAGTGTGAATCACATAAAAAAATTTTTTTACAATACTTTACTGATTTTGATTAGTTAGCTTATGATTATAATCCAACACTATTTTTATTATAATAAAAATGGCATTGGATTATAATCATAACATCTCCTAACTGACTAATCAAAATCGGTAAAGTATTGTAAAAAAATTTTTTTATGTGATTCACACCATGTGTAAAATCAATCATGTAACATCAACGTTTCCTTCTGTTTGGCATAGTGCATATCTAATTGCCGTAAATATTATATCTATATGATGTATGCTGTAACATATTATGGCATTACAGCTCAAAAAATTTAGTATTATGAATAGTATTGGTGTATAGTTTAGTAAAGTAGTGAAGTATACTTCAAAAATCGCATTCGAGTATATAAAATTAGAATACTATACTTATTATATAAAACAGTCTAGAAGAACACTATTGGCTATAGCTAGAAGGACATAAATTATACCATCATTTGAAGATCTAAAAAAGGCATTATCGAAAGAATGTTATTATAAAAAGAGTATCTTTTTGATTATCAGTTGTAACCTAAAAGAACATAAATTGCATTAATGCTGTCATTATTTGAAGATCTAAAAAATGCATCTTTTTGATATTGGCTATAATCTGAAAGAACACTATCAATTATGACTGGAAGAAAATTACACTAATGTGAAGGTTTAAAAGTATTTATACAACATTTGTTTAGAACTTTGGCATTTTTTGAAACTGATTTAAAAAAAAATTCAGAATGCTGTACTATATACATGTCTATAAAGGAATGTAAATTAATATTCTTGTAGTTTGTACAATTGAACTGACAGTTCTTATAATAAAAATTTTTATGTTCCTTATAAAGTAGTGTACTATTTCTGATGCCGGGCTCTAATAAATATTTTTTAAAAAAGTTTATTATACTGTTATAGAGCATAGATGTGTTCATTATAAAAAGGTAAGTTGCAAGAATAACTGCACCCTCCATTAGTAATTTACTGACCCGATTTTATAAGTTTTTAAAACCTGAAGTCTAGTTTCTCTAATGTCATGTTTGCATAAATTTTATATATATTTGCATATTATACACATATATTACTTTATACTCAGTTGTGACCTATCATCTATACTCACATGTTTGCTAATTTAATGTATTATACTCTACTACTTTACTAGATTATATACTACTATTTGTATTACTCCAAAAAATTATGGCAAATTATCCAAATTAATTCAACAGATCTAGATTTAATATAATTGCTTTTAATTGTTCTGGATATTTTATTAAAATTTTTATTACATAAGTTTATTATATATTTAGTTTATATTTAGTCCCAAATTCTACAATACAAGCTATTACATTTAACAAACAACAATTTGCTTACTGTCTCAAGCAACATTCAGCTTCTTTTCAAAGTGATTTAGTTTCTGCATCAGGGAAAAGTCGCTTACTTGGAAATGAAGTGGCAGGAATTAATAAATATTTATGAGCTATTTTACTTAAAATAGGAAAAGAATTCTGTTTTTTATGCCATCAGGCATAAACATCAGCAGTTTCAGATAAGACATCTTTATTTAAATAGTCATCGATCTTAGATTTTTTATTTACTTTTTGACTACTACTGAAGATTTTTTTCATAAAACTAGAGGCGGTGGTTTCTTTATAGATTTCTAGATCATCAGTTATAGCTGTCTCTTTCCAAACTTAAAATTTGGCTCACAATTTACCAATTGTTTCAGTCCATAAGGTATTAGGCCATGCATTTATTAATTTTAATTGAGGATCTAGTAGAGTGGCTAATAGTTTAATATCTTCTGAATCTTGCCAGTAGTGCCACAAAGAATTATAAATCATTCCTCGAATCTTGACGATTATGGCTTCAGGTGAGAATTGACTTTCTATATCATTGTCAAGCTCTTTATCACTGAAGTCTTCATTTAATAACTCTTCATCTAAAGTTTTAAAATATTAGTTAGCACTTGATACTTTATAATATATAGTTACTAACAAACAGTGCCAATAATTTTTTGTAGTGATATTTATTTATTTTCAAAAATAAATAAATATCACTGCAGAAAATATCATCTTACTTAAAAATTGATTAACAATTTTAAATATTTACTATTATTAAAGTTATCAGCAGATTCATCAAATTCACTGTCAACAGATTCATCAAATCCATCATTAGCAAATTCAAACTTTAAAAATTCAATAACTGGATTGACAATCGAAATAGTAACATATTGAATTCCACTAAAATAAGTTGTTATTTCATCGAATGACTTAAATACATGAATCAATTCTTTTAATAACTGCCATTCATAGTTTTTAAGCATGCATTGTTTTAACTTTTCAGAGTCTTCTTTAATACCGGTTTCTTTTTGTAGAGATAAAGTCTCAGAAAGCTACTCAATTGCCAGATGTAACTTTAGGAGTCTCTTTCAAGATTGATATGAAGAATTTCAGTGGATTTTTGAGTCATTCATAGTATGTAAAATGGATGGAGTTTTTTCACATGTTTCTATTTCATCATCTTCTAATTCATTATTTATATTTTTAGAATTGTGAAGTTGGATAGGATTTATACTAGTCACCTCACAGCTTGCCAAGTCAACTTGTGTCTGATCAAGACATTGACATTGTTTCGAAGATTGAAAAAAGCTAATAAGCTTTTTAATTTGTTTAATATATGGATTCATAACTTTCAAGGCCTGTAAGACTGTAAGTTGGAGTGTGTGCACAGTACAAGGAAGGTGTTTCATGCCATTCCAAATTTTAATTGCTTTTTTCATATTTGCACTGTTATCAGTTATTGCACAAAAAATTTTACTAACTAACTGAAACTCTTTAATTTTATTATCTAAAAATTCCTTTATACTTTCAGCTATATGTGGATATTCGATCTTTTCAATAGATAGAAGTACATCATGTACTTCAAAGTTAGATGTTAACCAGTGGAGGATTACTCTGATATATCCATGATTAGCATGGGATGTCCACAAGTCTGTGGTTATAGAGGCTATTTCACAGGTAGTATTGAGTAATTTTTTAAGTTCCACTACACCTTTTTGATAAGCAATGTCAATATTTTTTTTAATATACTTGTAATTTGGTGGTTTAAATGCAGGATCAATTCGTTGTATCATTTTATGATATCCTTTATCACATACAATGTTAAATGCTAAAGAATCAGTAACTAGCCATTCAGTAGTAATTCTTTGTAACTCTGATTGTCTAGATGTGTTATGTGGTTTTACTTGTCTAATTATATCACTTATACTTAATTGTTGTTTTTATTTGAACTTAGTGATTCATCTGGCCCAAAGATCTTATGAACTGAGTGCAAGTGCATTTTCATATTTCCAGTTGATCTATCATGTTTATAGCTCATATTACATTCAGTTTCTGCTCCTTTTCAAAATACAACTATCTTACAAACATCATTCTCACCCACCTTTTCAAAATATTTCCAGACATGGCTTTTTTTATTAGAACTAGGTGGTTTAGAAAAATTTACTCGAATCTTTTTTGCACTTGGTTCTTCAGCTAGTTTATCGATGGCCTTTCTTCTGCTTATGCTAGTAGAAGATTTAACAACCTCTTAAATATCGTTATCAGAGATATGATTAACTTCAGAAATGTATTCACGATTACTATTTATACTTTTTTTAAAAAATAGGAATTTTAATAATATTTGATTTATTACAGTACGCAAATAGAAGCATATGAAAAATTAAACAAGAGATAATGTTAATCTTTATTAAAGGTCAGAATGAGCTTCTTATATAC